GTCAAAATTACCTACTCCCTCTCCCCCAATGGAGTTTTGTACGGTGTGCTTTCATACTTATGCTCATTTTCTCTACCTACAATTTCAAGGCCTAGCTCAGATCACTCTATGAACATCAACCTCCTTGCTTTCATCTTCTCTGCCACTTAAGCCTAATAACTGCGTACTGCCCTGGGTTCTTCACCTTTTTATAAAAATGTCTTAACCATTCCACAAGCATGGAGTATTACTGAGGGCAAGCACTAGATCTTAAACATTTTGTAGTCCTTCTCAGGGAATTACTAAAAGCATCTTCTAGCACAAAATATTCCATAAGCCTGAGAAGGAACTGAAATTTAAGTTCTTAGTCTTAAATGTGCCCTAGTCAAAATTCTGGAGAAGTAACATAACATGGTAGCTAAGAGTTCATGCTCTGGGGGTGTCTGGAAATCCCAGATCTAATGTCTAACCCACCTTGGGCAAGTACTTAATTAATATCACCACATCTAAGATTCCTCAACTGGAAGAGAGACTGTTAGTATTCACTTTACTAGTATCATAATAAAGATAATTAGGATCAAGTGTACGAAGTCGACAGTAAGCATTAATGTTAACTATTATGTAGAAAAAAATAAAATAATGGTAAATTTTCTTTAGCTCTTGATTCCTCGTAATACCATAATTCAGTTAGTGGTGAAGCATATGAAAATAAAAGCAAAACTTTAGTTACCTCAACTCACTGAATTTTCAACATTAATATTCATAAGTGGAGCATTCACATGATTCGTGAACACTAAAGTGTTCATTTTGTTATCTACAGAATTACCTAACTACTGGCACTAAACCTTAACATACCACCTTCAGGGACGCCTGGGTGGCTCAGTTGGTTAAGCGTCCAACTTCGGCTCAGATCATGATCTCCCAGTTTGTGAGTTCGAGCCCGGCATCGAGCTCTGTGCTGACAGCTCAGAGCCTGGAGCCTGCTTCGGATTCTGTGTCTCCCTCTCTCTCTGGCCCTTCCCCTCTCAAGCTCGTGCTCGTGCGCTCGCTCTCTCTCTCTCAAAAATAAACATTAAAAAGATACCACCTTCAAAGAATACAGAATACTAAAACACGAAAGAAAAGGACATTAGACCCCCCCCAATTGAACCCATGATTTAAATCTTACAAAATGATTCTTTAAAAATGCTGACATCTGAAAATTTTGAAGCCTATACCCATTTCTTTACATGAACGGACTATGTAGTTATCCAGAGACCTAAAATTTCAGGCCTATTAGGGACCTTTTGTAATCACTCATGTACAAAGTGAAAATGTAATCCTAAATAAAGTAGCCTGCCCAAGATTTCACAGATGGTTCACAGAAAAGACTCCTTAGAACCCATGACTAGAACCCATATTTTGTGACCAGCAGGTCATATTCTCTATGGATTCCACCATGAGAATAATAATCTTTTTTTTCTTTTTAGATATAGCATTGTTTTCTTCTGCCCTTAGCACAAGTAGTGCTAAGTGCCCTTGCACATGTTTGATATTCCAGACTTTTAACTTTGTCCTCAAGATCTTTCTGTTGGTAGATATTTTAAAACATGTAGCAACAAAGTATGATATTTATACCAAAATAAATTTCAAGTGAGAAGTTAAAAGGCATAATTTTAAAATAGAACACATACATTCAAATGTCTGTACTGCAATTATACAGAAAAATGTTCAAAATACTTGACTTCAAGTGCTCACTATTTTAATCAATCTGTTAAATATCTGTAATTTAATATACACAGTGCTTTAGTTCCAAAGACTTGTCTGTTAACTAGATGGCTTGAACATAAGACATATCTTTAGAACAGAGTTAATAAAAATCTTAAT